CCTCTTTATCTCTTCTAATTAGTTATAGTTTAAAGTCTATTTTATCAGATATTAGAATTGCAATGCCTGCTTTTTTCTTAGTACCATTCGCTTAGTATTTTTTTTTCTTCCATCCTTTCACCTTAAAGTAGTGCCTGTCCTTGAAAGTGATATGAGTTTCTTGCAGACAACAAAAAGATGACTTTTGTTTCTTAACCCATTCACATAGTCTGTGTCTTTTGACTGGGCGTTCAGTCCATTAATATTTAAAGTTATGAATGAAAGATGTGTATTGAATCCTGTCATTTTTATTTCTGTTTACATTCTTGATATGGCTGTACCTTTCCACAGTTATACCTTCATTGGATTTCTTTCCACAACCCCTTGGGTATAATCATTCCTTTCTTCACCTCTTTGTATTGCTTCCAGAACTCTCTGAAGGCCTGCTTTTGTGGACATGATTTCCTTCAGCCTATTTATATCATGGAAGTTATGTCATAGAAGATTTTTCTTTCCCCTTCAACTATAATAGACATCTTGGCTGGGTAATCTGGGTTGGCATCTGTGGTCATTTAAACCTGGGAATACTTTGGTCCAGGCTCTTCTGACTTTCATAGTTTGCACTGAAAAGTTAGCTGTTATCCTAATGGGTTTTCTTTCATATATGACTATTTTCTCTTTTGCAGCTTTCAGTATTGTCTCTTTGTTCTGTACGCTTAGTGTTTTTACTATGATGTACCGTGGAGAGTTTCTTTTCTGGTCCTGTCTGTTTGGTGTTCTATATGCTTCTTGTATTTGTATGGGCATATCTTTCTTTAATTTTGGGAAATTTTCTTCTATGATTCTGTTGAAGATCTGGTCCTTGCCATTATCTTGGGATTCTTCTCCTTCCTGTATGCCTATGATTCGTAAGTTTGGTCTTTTTATGGTGTCACAGAATTCCTGCATCTTCCTTTCTTGGCTTTCTTAAATTTTTCATAATCTTTGCTTGAGTGAGGTCTAGTTTGTCCACTTTTTCTTCCAGTCTTGATACTCTCTTTTCCATTTCATTCATTCTATTGGTGAGGCTTTCTCCTGTCATTTCTAATTGGCTTACTGAGTGTTTCACTTCCTTCTTCATTTCAGCCTGAGTAGTCTTCAATATTTCTAGCTCTTTTCTGAATTCATTCAGAAGTTTATCCCTATCTTCCTTCAGTTCTTTGATTTCTTTGTGTGTTCTTTAAATTCACTGAATTCTTTTGTCATGTTAATCATTGTTCTTTTGAGCTCCATGTCCAGCATCATCCCTAGGGGGTTCTCATTGTACTCCTCTAGAGGACTATTGGTATTTGGTGGGGATAAGTTATTTTGGTTTTTCATGTTATTATTTTTTCTCTGTGATTTTGACATGTGAATTTCTTTCGTAGTTTCTGATTCTATGTGAGACTCAAGCCTTCACGTTTAGGTCTGCTTCTTTTTGTAAACTTCATGTGCCTTTGTGGTTTACTTTTTGGGCATGAAAAGCTGGTTCATCTAAGCTTCCAGTTCTCTCTTTTGATTTTTATATTGGAGTGGCCAGGTTGCTTTTGTCTTCAGGAGTTCCCACAGAGGCCCAAGTCAGATGAGGATCAGATGTTCTCAGGTTTTCTCCTAAGGTCTGGATCCCTCCAGGAAAGATTTTGGCCTCAGGAATTTGGGGGTTGTACTGGCCTGAGAGCCTGGCCCAGGAAAGATGCTGGTCTTTGGCAGCTGGTGGCCATGACACTCAGAGATGCAAAGGGAGAATGGGGGTGGAAAGAGGCCCCAAGGGCTCCTGGGGACTGCCTTGATGAACTGGGTTGGTCTGGATGCAAAGGATTAAGAAGCCAGAAGGTCAGTCCCGGAGTCCAGGAAAGAGGCTGGCAGGTTGTGCAGCCCAGGGAAGCAGAGGAAGGTGAGGATGGGAGTAGGCCCAGAGGGCTCCTGGGGACCTTGAGAAGGAATTGGGTCCATCTGGATGCAAGGGATCAGGAAGCAGTGGTGGCCCTGGGCTGAGAGGTCAGCCCCAGGGTCCAGGAAAGAGGCTGGTGGGCCTTGCAGCCCAGGGAAGCAGAGGGAGGTGAGGGCAGGACCAGGCCCAGAGGGCTCCTGGGGACCTAGAGAAGGACATGGGTTGGTCTGAATGCAAGGGATCAGGAAGCAGTGGTGGCCCCCGGGCCAAGAGCCCCTGGGTCCAGGAAAGATGCTGGCAGGCCGTGTAGGAAGCAGAGGGAGGTGAGGCTAAAGATCTTATTTTCAAGTGCATGAGCACTTGGTACTGTATGCTTTGTACTGTTGACTGTTCTGTATATGTACGTCTGTCTTCCCTAAATAGATTGTAAGCAGTTATAGTTGTATAGTTGTAGTTATAGCCCTAATACTTTATTTTATTTTTTGGTCTTTTTGAGACAGGGTCTCCCTGTAGCCCCAGCTAACCTGGAACTCACTATGTAGATCAGACTGGCCTTGCACTCACAGAGATCCGCCTGCCTCTGCCTCCGTAGTGCTGGGATTAAAGGGGTGCACCACCACACCCGGCAAGCCCTAATACTTTCATATTTATTTTAGACAGATGAAAACAAGACCTGGAGAAGTCCTTATTGATTGTTTAGATTCAATTGAAGACACCAAAGGAAATAATGGGGATAGAGGTGAGTATATTTCTATTTTATATTTTTTGTTTAATTTAGTAATATTCATTATTATTACCTGGAGAATATGAAACAGCATCATATGTAAATGTAATTATGAGAAGAGTTCAATCTGCAGGGTTTTCTTGAACTTAAATAAAAGAAGGAATAGGGTTTTTTTTTTTCAGTCTTTTTAAGACGGTCTCCCCGTAGCTCCAGCTGGCCTGAAACTCACTATGTAGACCAGGCTGGCCTTGAACTCACAGAGATCTGCCTGCCTCTGCCTCCTGAGTGCTGGGACTAAAGGCATGGGCCTGGCAGGGATAGGTATTAAAACTATATGGGGGAACACAGGTTCTCCCTCAACTTGAGCCCATCTGTAAGTCCTGATCCTGACATCAAATTTTCCAGTGTAGCTGTTAAAACTCCAGGATCCCTATTTATAAGAGTTATGGACTAGTTCCTACCCTTGGATTTATCTCTCACTGAAGGAATACTGGGTAATGAACATTAACTAGTTATACCTGTGGTTTCTGGAGCCATGCTTCACTTTAAGAAATCCAGAAGTATTGCACAGTCACCTCAGATTGACTCCTAAAGGTGGGCATGTGGAGACAGAAAATTTAGTGCTCTGTTATAATGTCTATATGTCAGTCAAGTAATGGAACGTCTTGAGTCTCTCCCAAGCCACATTTGCCTGATACTAGAACTTACAGCAGCTGTTTGTGGAGCCAGTAGTCAGTGAGCTATCCACGGGCCCTTAAAAGCATCATTATTGTTCTTCAGAGAAAAAAATAAGTAGATAAGTGGCAGTTTGGTGTATCCTAAAAGTTTTCTTTAGAAGAGAAGGATGCTTAAGAAGTGGGGGCACAAGCCTCTTTTTAGAAAGAGGAGGAAGCAGGGATGAGGAACCCACTTTCTTCAGATAAAGGGAATCAGTGTGTCATGGAGAAGGAACAAGAACCTATGGCAGAACATGCTCACTGCAGCCTTTTGGGTGGCGGCTTGCTCACTGAAATTTTCTTCTGGGCAGCTCTGGATTTGTACATGAGCAGCAGGTCCTACTAAGCCCTTTTTCTCTGTGTAGAACCTGTCATTACCACCAGCCCCAAGCAGACTCTGTCAGTGGCTAGTGTCTGTCCTTAATGGAATGCTTGTATCACATTTCTGAAATGATCCTGGGGTCATTCAGACCTTGATGAGGGTCAATTCTGAACACCTGGTAACAAACAAAAAGTCTGGTTCACTGTCATGGTGGCTATATCTTGCTGAAATGTGAATCACCTTGAGGAAATCAAGAGAAAATTTGGTGGTTCATATACAGATTGGTAAAAAGGCCATCCTCCAAAATAGAGATTGTGGTTAATGGAACATATTTTAATTCATCAAGTATTTGTTGAGTACAGAAATCCTTATCAGAACTTTGGTATATAAAGGGTATTCTGGTTAGTTTTAATTGTCAGCTTTACACAGCTAAGAGTCTTCTGAGGAATTTCCTAGATCAGATTGGCCTGTGGGCATGTCCCTTAGGGATTGCCTTGATTATTAATTGATGCAGGAGGGCACAGCCCATTATGAGTAGTACTATCCCTAGGTAAGTGGTCCCGGACTATATAAAACTAGCTAAGCAGGAGCCTGTGAGAGAGTAAGCAAGCAGCATTCCTCCATGGCTTCTGCTTCAGGTTCCTGCCTTCAGTTCCAGCCCTGACCTCCCTCAGTGATGGATTGCAACCTAGAAGTATAAGCCAAACAAGTTTTTCCTCCTCAAGTTGCTTTTGGTTCAGAGTGTTTTATCACAGCAACTGAAATCAAACTAGAATAAAGAAGGAAAAACCTCTGTGAGACACATGACTCAGTTGATGGAGTGCCTGTCTGGCTTGTACAAAGCCCAGGGTTTGAACCCCGTACTACATAAACTCAGCGTGCAGTGGCACATGCCTGTACTCCAAGCACTCAGGAGGTAGAGGTAGGATGATCAGAAGTTTGAAGCCATCCAGAGTTGCAGGAGATCCCCTCAAAAAAAAAAAAAAAAACAGCCCCTCTGGGCAGAAAAAATCCCCATCACAGTGCCCGTACTCCTACTTGGGAACTCAGAAAGCTTTTTTTAATCCAGAGTTGCAGGAGACCCCCAAAAAAAAAAAAAAAAAAACCAGCCTCTCTGGTCAGAAATAATCCACATCATAGTGCCTGTACTCCTACTTGGGAACTCAGAAAGCTTTGTTTAAATGAAGTTTTGCAGTGCAGAGCTTCTGGTTTATAAGCAGGTAGAAGGAACAGGGGAGTCCTGCCTTCCAACCTTCCACAGCCCTCCTTCCTAGCAGTTTGAAAGTGACTAGCTTAAGACATTGCCTTTTTCAGGAGCCCCTATTTTAAAACTGCAACCTAGAAGATTAGTACATTTAATTTACTTTAATTCTAAGCACTGCCATGAAATTGTCAGATTAGCTTTGTATACCAAAGCTGTGTAAGAGTGAAATGGGCAAGGATAGTTCGATAGTTGTACAATTAGAAGAAACAGGGACAGAGAAGAGTTGAGGCCTGGAGCAACAGAGTTGCAGGAAGGGGTCCTTCAGGAGAAAAGAGACAGCAAAGAATCCAGGAGACTCATAGCTGATGCACAAAGCACAGATCAAAGGCAAACAGAGTTGGCTGGAAGTTTTTCAAGGCAAATTCTTCCCACTCCATTTTTTTTTCTGGGATACACTAACAAAATAAATTACCTAACTGAAGTAATATTAGGAAATAAACCAGTGAACCTATACATTTTAATCATAAAAATGAGTTTGTAAAGCATTAAAATATTATGTCAAGCTCAGAAGTCCCAGCTACTTGGAAGGCTGAGACAGGAGGATCAGTAGAGCTTATGAGTTTGAGTCCAGCCTATGTCATAAGGTGAAACTGTCCTGGCAAGATGGTTGTATGTAACTCAATATAATAATTTTCTTTTGAGACAGGGTCTCCCTGTAGCCCCAGCTGGCCTGAACTCACTGTGTAGACCAGGCTGGCCTTGAATGCACAGAGACCCACCTGCCTCTGCCTCCCGAGTGATGGTACTAAAGGAGTGTACTACCACGCCCAGCGATAATTTTTATTTTTCATGTAAAAGCATGTTAAGAGAGGAAAGGAGGGAAGGAGGGCTGGGGATATAGCTCAGCAGTAGAGTGCTTGCTTAGCAAGTGTGAGGCTCTAGCTTCCATAATTTCCCTTGAGAGAATGCCTTTTTATTTGGGGGGATTTTTTTTTTACAGGGTCTTCCATAGCCCCAGCCCACCTGGAACTCACTATGTAGACCAGGCTGGCCTCAGTGTCACAGAGATCTGCCTGTCTCTGCATCCTGAGTGCTGGGATTAAAAGCATGTACCACAACACCTGGTGTGTGGGGGTTTTTTTTTTTTTTTTCAGGGCCTCTTTTTAATTTTTTTTATTTGAATGTATGTGTATGTGCCTGCTTTTATTTAAATGTGTGATTTTATGTGCACTACATGAGTGCAGGTGCCAACAGAGGCCAGAAGAGGGCATTGGATCTCCTGGACCTGGAGATACAGGTGGTTGTGAGCCACTGTGTGGGTGCTGGGAACTGAACCTGAGTCCTCTGCAAGAGTAGCCAGTGCTCTTAACCACTGAGCCATCTTTCCAGGCCCCTTTCTTTCTTATTTTTCTTTTTCTTTTCTAAAATAGAAAATAATAATGGTCTTAAGGTATAGGTACGAGCCACATGCTATTTTTAGATTAGTTTCTTTAAGAATGCATCAAAGCATTATAAAAGACCAAAACCTTTTATTATTTTTTAATATCCATTTATTGCTATTTGTATTGTGTATGTCTGTGTGTGTCTGTGTCTGTGTGTCTGTGTGCTGCATGTGTGCAGGTGCCCAGGGAGGGCAGAACAGGGTGCTGAAGCCCCTTGGAACTGGAGTTACAGACAGTTGTAAACCACCTGACATGAGTGCTGGGAACTGAACCCAGGTCCTTGGGAGAGCAGTGCTTGTAACTACCAAGCCATCTCTTCGGCTTCTATTACTACTAAATTTTTAAATGTAGATACCATTATGATATTTTTTGAACAAAGTGTTTTTGTGGTTCTCCCATTGCCCCCACTCTCCTGCCATTCCTGTTTACCTGTGGTATCCTCCCCCAGGTTCTTTTCCTCTTTCATCTCTTGTGTTCTTTCGCCTACCATCCATCCTTCCTCATCACCTAGTATTACCCTTTCCTAGTCAAGGAGACTTTACCCACATTTATGCCTTTTAGCACATGTACACATGTACATTCACATATGAGGGAGAACATGGCAGATTTTGCCTCTGAGTTTGGGTCACCTTGTTTAATATTATAGTTTCCAAATATATTCATTTTCCTGTAGATTTCATGATTTCATTTTTTTTTACAGCTGATACTCCATTGTATATGTATCACATTTTCATTATTTATCTGTTGATAGCCATCTAGGCTGCAGAATCTTTTTCTATTTCCAGTATGTGGCCAGTGAGGAGATATTAATAAAGATAGTTTAATATAGGCTTAATCACAAGGGTTAAGAGAAAGAGAAATGTGGCGTTTTTACGCCACATTACAGTTGTATTTGAATCAGCTTGACTGTTAGCATTAAGTTTTAATAGCCAAGCTTTCCAGCAATGACAACGTCCCTACAAGAACATGCCTCTTGAAAAGGATCTCCTTCATCCCTCTCCAGAAAAGGAAAGAGGAAACACAAGAAGCAGCACCTGGGGCAGAGCCCCAATTCCTGCTTCATGGATGTGAAATGACCAGGATGCTATAAAATCACCATGGTCTTCAGCCATACACAAACGGTAATCTTATGTGTTGGCTGCTCCACTGTCCTCTGTCAACCTACAGGTGCAAAAGTATGAATTACAGAAGGATGTTCCTTCAGGAGGAAGCAGCACTAAAAGTACCCTGAATCAAGATGAGTGAGAAAACATCCCAATAAACACATTTTGGATATTTAAAAAAAAAAAAAAAAAGTTTTAGTAGCCAAGGGAGTTTGTTCCTTCAGGTCTCACAGAACTGTGCTCCAGAGCCAGGCCTCATCCATACCTACCTACCTTCCTTCCTTCCTTTCTTTCTTTCTTTCTTTCTTTCTTTCTTTCTTTCTTTCTTTTTCTTTCTTTCTTTCTTTCTTTCTTTCTTTCTTTCTTTCTTTCTTTCATTTATTTAGGTCTTTTTGAGACAGGGTCTCCTGGAGCCCCAGCTGGACTGGAACTCACTATGTAGACCAGATTGCCCTTGAACTTACAGAGATCCACCTGCCTCTTACTATCAAGTGCTGGAACTAAAGGCATGCACTAGCTTGCCCGACTTAGTCCATACTTTCATTCAAAACAGTTTCTCTAGCATCAAGTGGGGAACTACCAGCTTGGATCTACCCTTACCTTATCAGAGAATCTTACCCTTTGATCCCAAGGCCTAAAATATCTCAGATACACAACCTCAAATAAACTCAATTATTCTCCCTGTTTTCAAGGATACAAATATGAACAGCTGCTATGTGCTTTGCTATGATAACTCAAACACACCCACATTCTGTCACAGTCTTGGGTAGACAGCAAAGTGGGGTCCTGAGAGATCAAGATCAGGTGCCCAGGTTACAACAGCACATGGCTCAGTGAGCTTGTTTGTATTTTAAAAAGCTTTTTGGTACAAGGCCGAGTAAAAGTCATTGGTCATGATTCTGTCCATATTGTAAAAGTCATTCCTACTGGGGAGTGCTGAGAAGAAAGTAAGACACACTGAAGGGCTTTGTCTTATTTTAGACATGCTAAGCATTTTTTTTTTAATGTGTATGTGTGTTTTGCCTACATGTATGTAAGTTTACCATGTTGTGTAATGCCCACAGAGGCTAGAAGAGGGCATTGGATCCCCTGGAACTGGAGTTACAGATGATTATTAGCTGCCATATGGGTACTGGGAACCGAACCCAGGTCCTCTGCAAAAGCAGCTGGTGCTCTTAACCACTGAACTGTTCTTCAGCCCCTTGCTAAGCATTTTCAAGGAGGAAAGATCTGCCTATAGATCAAAAGAACTCTGTGGTCATAATTTGTAGAAATACTGTATTTAACAGTGTTAAAAGTTTTATTATTTCAAGATATCCCAAGGCTATCCTAATATAATTATATTGTCAACTCTGAGATAAATGGTTCAGATTTATTCCCTCCCTCCCCCATGGATCATCTATATGGGTTTACATTTCTACAGGTCACAGTTTGAGAAAAGAAGTATATCTAACTTTTTTTTCTTAGAGATAGGGTCTCATATAGTCCTTGCAGGCCTCAAACTTGCTATTTAGGTACCTGTATAGTCACTTTTCTGTTGCTGTGACAGAACCACTGACCCAAGAAATTTATAGAAGGAAGAGTTTGAGCTTATGGTTCCAGGGGAATTACAGTCTGTCATGGCAGGCATGGTGGCTGGAGGTGGCTGGAGCAGGAGCAGCAGAAGCTAAGCTCTCACATCACCATGCAGGCACAGGAAGCAAGAGAGTAACTGGAGATCTGGCAAGGCTTAAGAACTCTCTAAGCCCACCCCCAGTGACCTGCTTCCTGCAGGATAGCCACACCTTCTAAGACCTCCCAAAACAGCACTGTCATCTGGGAACAAAATGTCCAAACACTTGGAGCTTATGGGGGACATTTTCATTCAAACCCCCACATTCCACCCCCTGGCCCCCGTAGGCTCATGACCATATAAAATGCAAAATGCATTTAGTTCAACTTTAAAAGTCCCCATAGTCATTCTCAGTCTCAATACTATTCAAAAGTCCACAGTCCAAAGTGGACTCAGGTAAATATCTTAACTGTGTAAGCTTCTATAAAATCAAAAGACAAATTACATACTCCCAACATACAGTGGAACCGAATACACGTTACCATTCCAAAAGGGAGGAATGGAGGCAAAGTGAGGAAATACCAGACAAAAACAAGACTGAAAACCAGCAGGGCAAACACCAAATCCAGTAGCTCCACATCCAACTTCTGGGACTTTACTTCCAAAGGGCTTAGATGGCTCAGCCTCTCTAGCTTTGCTGCATGCAACACACATCTCTCTCTTGTCCTGGTACCACTCCCTGTGTGCAGGTCTTCTTGGCAAATGCCTCACAGCTCTGGCATCACGAACTTCTTGGGGTCTCCATTGCCAACCAGGCTTCACCTTCACAGCTTCATGCAATGGCCTATCAGGGCCTTCTCTAGGCAGGGGCACTCCTGCTTCACACTGCCTGGTCTCCGAGGCTCTCTGAAACCTCGGAGGAAGAATTGATGACCCCTTCACTGTTCCATCTTTCATGCCTCTAAAGCGAGCACCAGGTGAGCAACACTGCCAAGTTCAACTACAAGTTTGGGATGGACTCCAGCCTGCTTTATCCATTTTAGAAGCTTTTCCCTTCCATGAGCCTGCACCATTTTCCTTTCATAAGTTGGAGGCTTAACTGGGTGTAGTCTTGCCCTGGAGGCACCCTCTTCATTGTTTAAGTTTGAATTTCTAGGCCCCTCCTTAATCACTTTAATCTCCTTATCAATGGGATCCTCTCCATCACATGCCAGGGCTCCAACATTTATCCTCCTACTGCTCTTTTTCAATCCAAACTGTATTTCTTTCTGCCCCATTTGCTCTCTTTCACTGTAGATCTGCATAATATTCACCATTAATAGCTATGCCACCATTTCTACATTAGGCTGTCTTGAAATTACTTCTGCTAAAGAAATTAGTCCATTACTTTTCAATTTAGCCTCAGGCAAGCTTTTTGGTTTAGGGCAGACTCCAGCCAGACTCTTTGCCAAAATATCCCAAGTGCTGCTTAAGTCCTTATTTCCCTCTGAAACTACATTGTTCTTAGCACTACTTTCTTCCAGGCATTTACTAGACTGGCCTGTTAAGCTTCACTTACAGCAGTCAACTGCTTTTCTAGCCCATACTTCCAAAGTCTTCCACATTCCTCCAAAACCCCACATGGTCAGGTTCTTCAACAGCCCACTCTCTGGTACCAATTACTGTTTTAGTCACTTTTCTATTGCTGTGATAGAAACACTGACCCAAGAAATTCATAGCAGGAAAAGTTTATTTGAGCTTACGGTTCCAGGGGAATTACAGTCCATCATGGCAGGAAGGCGTGGTGGCTGGAGGTGGCTGGAGCAGGAGCAGCAGAAGCTAAGCTCTCACATCATCACACAGGCACAGGAAGCAAGAGAGCAACTGGAGATCTGGCAAGGCTTAAGAACTCTCTAAGCCTACCCCCAGTAACCTGCTTCCTGCAACATAGCCACACCTTCTAAAACCTCCCAAAACAGCGCCATCATCTGGGGACAAAATGATCAAATACTTGGAGCCTATGGGGGACATTTTCATTCAAACCACCACAGTACCTGAGAATAAAGTACCTCATTTACACTCCTGATCTTCCTGTTTCCACCTCTGAGCGCTGGAATTACAGGTGTTTGCTATAGTGTCCATCTGAGAAAAGTAGTATATTTCTGTGTTTCCATGTAAGACTATCAGGCTAATGCAAAGACTGGAAAGTATAAAGCCTTGAGGAAATTTATTCCACTAACAGCAAAATTGGGTATAAAAGTACATGGTTCACTTAAATTAGAACTACTGAGCCAGAGAGATGGCTCAGCAGTTAAGAACACTTTCTTGTGCAAGCAGGAGAACCAAAATGGTCCTTTACACACCTGTACACCTGCAATGAGGTAAGCAGAGACGGGAGAATCACTAGGGCTTGCTGCTGCTAGCCTAGCTAGAAAAGCAGGAGCTCCCGGTTCAGGGAGAGACCCTGCCTCAAAGGAATAAGGTGGAGAGTGATAGAGGAGGCCACCTGAGGCCCTCCTTGGGCACCTTCTGCACATTCTTGCAAACACACCCCCCACAGATGAGAACTGCTAAGACAGCATTCATATGACAGTAGGTATTAGTTCTCATTTCTGTGATAAAGTATCTGACAAAAGCAGCTTAAGGAAGGGTTGATTTTGGCTCACAGTTCTGAGAGCCCACCATGGTAGGGAAGTCATGGCATCAGGAGCTTGAGGCAGCTGGTTCACCGTGCATCCTGAGGAATCAGAGATGAGTGCTGGTGCTCAGCTCCATTTTCCCTTTTTCCATTTTTATTCAGCCTTAAACACCAGCCCATAAGATGGTATTGTTTACATTCAGGACATGTCTTGCCATCGTAGTTAATCCTCTCTGGAAATGCTTCCACAGACACACAGTAATGCCCTACATGTTTCCTAATCCTGCCAAGCTGATAGTTATATTTAACCATCACACAAAGATTAGTGTATATATGAGAATTCCATGTTCTTTTTGTTTTGGTTTCTTTTTGAATGGGTCTTATCTTGCTATGTAGCCCTGTCCTGGAGCTCACAGTCACCCTCCTGCCTTAACCTCCCAGGCTAACAAGCAGTTGTCACCTTGCCCAGCCCATACACATTCTTTCTTTCTCAAGTAATCCAGGCTGGCTTCAGACTTGCTATGCAGCCAAGGATGACCTTGAGTTTCTGATCCTCCTGCCCCAAGCCCTGAGCACTTGGATCACAGGCATGCACTACCATGCCGGTTTATGTTGTACTGGGAATTGAACCTATACATGGCTACAGATACTGAAGTAGTAGTTCTGTTCCCAGCACATTATGTACTGTGAAAATGGGTCCTTACTTAAGCTAATCAGGTCTTTCTTTCTTTGCTTTTAGGTAGACTCTTAATAACAAATTTAAGAATCATATGGCACTCTTTGGCATTACCCAGAGTCAATCTTTGTAAGTATCTTTCTTAGATAAAATGCTAAGGAAAAAAATCGGGGGTTTTTGTTTTTGTTTTTGGTTTTTTTTTTTTGTTTTTTTTTTGGTGTTTTTGAAGCAGGGTCTCCCTGTAGCCTGGCCTGGAACTCACTATGTAGTAGATCAGGCTGGCCTAGAACTCACAGAGATCTGCCTGCCTCTGCCTCCCAAGTGCTGGGACTACAGGCATGCACCACCACGACCGCCCAGCTAAGAGATAATTGGGTTTTTTTGTTGTTTGTTTGTTTGTTTGTTTGAGACAGGGTCTCCTCAGCTGGCCTAGAACTCTCTATATAGACCAGACTAACCTCGAACTCACAGAGATCTGTCTGCCTCTGCCTCCCCAGTGCTGGTTCTAAAAGTGTATGCCACCACACCTGGCCTGAATGAGATGTTTTTGATACAAAAAAAAGGCAGGGGATTGGGGAAGAAAAAGCTCAGTGATAGATCACTTACATAACATGCTCAAGGCCTTGGATCCAATCTCTAGTGCTGTGAGAAGATAAAAACAATTTTCTTTAGGCTATACCATGAACTATTCAAATATGAAATTTCTATCATAATACAAAAGAAATCTTTTTTTCAGTCTGTCCATTTTGTGTCATGGGTATGTGTGGGATTAGTGTTTTACACAGAATGGTTTTTGCCTTTTAAAGAATTGTTTATTATTGAGTGTATGCTTGATGTGGTAGGGGAGGAGAGATGCATGCCATGGCATGTGTGTAGAGCTGGCCAGACTCCAAATCAGTTCTTTCCTTCCACCTTTACATGAATTCTGGGGATCAAGTTCAGATTGCCAGGCTTGTACATACACCTTTACCAGCTCAGCCCTTGGCTTGTTTTTGCTTGCCTTTAAAACATGCTATAACTAGTTTCAAGAAAATCTAAAGAAGGGGCTTTAAGCTGCAATAAAAGTAGTCTTTTACTGTTTTAAATTTGTTTCACTTTTTGGGTTGTTTGTTTTTAGGCAGAGTCTTAACACTGTAGCCCAGGCTGTCCTCAGACTTGTGGCTGTGTTCCTGCCTGTGCCTCCCAAGTGCTAGGATTACAAACATGTACTGCCACATCTAGCTTTTTTCACTTCTTTTCTCCCATTATCTAAGGAATATCTTCTTAGTGTCTGTCACTTATTTTTAAAGTGTTTTTTGCTAATTAGCCCGATTTGTTTGTTTTTTGAGACAAGGTCTCCCTGTATCCCCAGCTGCCTGGAACTCTCTTTGTAGACCAGGCTGACCATGATCTCACAGAGATGTGCCTGCCTGTGCCTCCTGAGTGCTGGATTCAAGGTGTATGCCACCATGGCCAGCCACATTTTTATTAATTTAATTTTATGTGTATGAGTGTTTTGCCTGCATGTATGCAAGTATACCACATGTGCGCCATGCCTTCAGAGTTCAGAAGAGGGTATCAGGTTGCCTGGAATTAGAGTTACAAATGGTTGTTAGCTGCTGTGTGGGTGCTGGGAACTGAACCCGGGGCTTCTAGAAGAGCCATGAGTGCTTTTAACCATTGAGCCATCGCTCTAGCCTCCAGAAATTTTTTTTTTACCTAATAGTACATTTTCTTTTTCCTATGTTATGAATGTTTTTGCTTATTCAAAGAAGTATAATTGTCCCTTTAGTTCTTATAATTACTTAACTAAAACTTGTAATTTTTTTTTCTTTCTTTTCTTTTTTTTTTTTTTTTGGTAACAGTCTCATGTGTTCTAGGCCAACCTCTAATTTGCTATATAGCTGAAAATTACCTTGAACTTCTAATCTCCCTGTCTCCACCTCCTGAGTCCTGGGATTACAAGTGTGCACAACTGCACACCATTTATGCAGTGCTGGGGATCAAACCCAGGGCTTCATTTATGCTAAGTAAGCAATTTACCAACTGAGCTACATTCCCAGCCTCAGTTTGTAATGATTTCATACATTTTGGAATGGGGGTGGTCTTGGTCTCTTTGAGACAGGGTTTCCCTGTAGCCCAAGCTGGCCTGGAATATTTCATACATTTTTTAAGTTGCATTTCTGCTTTTTAAAGTTTTACAATAGTATTTTTCTTAATTTGCTATATCATGCTTCTCAAATTGTCTTTTTTTTTTTTTTAGCTATTGGTTACAACTGCATATTGAATATTACAACCAGAACTGCTAACTCCGTAAGTCTGAAAATCCTATTAAGATAGATATATAGTGAAGAAACATTAGGTATTTAAAGTTAATGTTTTCACTTTAAATGAGAAGCTGCTCTTTAACTCTGAACTTTTAAATACATTTGTCCTTACAGAAATTAAGAGGCCAAACTGAAGCTCTTTATATATTAACAAAATGTAACACTACTCGTTTCGAATTTATATTTACAAATTTGGTTCCCGGAAGCCCTAGACTTTTTACTTCTGTGATTGCAGTACACAGGTATAGTACCTTGCAGATTATTGAATACAAGTTAATTCTATAATATAAATGTCTAGCAAATGAGATTTGGAAGTATGACAGTATCTTCTGCTAAGAATTATTACAAAACTGTGCACTGGGTGTGGTGGTGCATGCCTTTAGTCCCAGCATTTGGGAGGCAGAGGCAGGCAGATCTCTGTGAGTTCAAGGTCAGCCTGGTCTACATAGTGAATGCCAGGCTAGCTGGGGCTACAGGGAGACCCTGTCTCAAAAAGACCAAATAAAAAAGATTTATTGCAAATATCCTGAAGCAATTTAGAATAACACATTGTATTAGTAAGAACTTTGAAAGAATTTATAAAGCATGCACAGTGCCAGGTGTGGTGGTGCACATTTACAATCCCACCACTCTGGAGAACAAAGCAGGAAGATTGGGAGGTCTAGACCAATCTGAGCTACCAATTGCAACCCTGTCTAGAAAAAGAAAAAGTAAGACTACTGAAGATTCATAAAAATTTCCTTTGGAAAATTCTATTGAATTAGGCTATCAAGGAAGGTAAAGTGAAAAAGTAATTCAAGTACTAAATTTAAAGGATTTTTATAATAGACAGAAACATTCAGATGTTTTCCCAAACAGTTTTTCCTTGTATTTTGTTCTTTGCCACAACCAGCTGAAAGAGCTTTAATTTATCATAATAATTGAGTAATGTGCATAAATGTTAATAGCTATGTATTTTGATAGATAAGCAAACATAAGGTAAGAACACACATTTTCTGTTTGGATTGGTCTTTTGTTCTTTTTCATAGAGCATATGAAACTTCAAAAATGTACCGTGATTTTAAATTGAGAAGTGCAGTAATTCAAAACAAGCAAATAAGATTATTACCACAAGAACATGTGTATGACAAGATCAATGGAGTGTGGAATTTATCCAGTGACCAGGTACTGTGCAAAGAAGTAATTCTTTTCAGATTGTTTTGGCAGCCATTTTTCCATTTATCATTGGATTTGTATAATTCTTAAAATTAGCATTATAGCTCTGGATAAATTAGCATTATAGTTCTTGGTTGGAAATAATATGATTTTTATGGTTTTCTGCTCTTTTCACAACTGTATAGAACTGAGAACTACAGCGGGCCTTGAACTCAGATAGTTCTGTCTGTTCTTGCTCATAGACGAGAAACATAGTCCCTAAAGAGTTCATCCCAGGGCTCTACTTTCCCATTGTACTTCACTACCCTCTGCTTGATAACTCACACTGGTAGAGGAGAACCATGGTGGGGACAGTCATCGAAAGTACCTCCCCCCTCCATTTTTAAATTTTTACTTTCTGCAGTAGGGTCTTGCTATGTATCTTTGGCTGGCCTGCAACTCACTGTGTAGATCATCCTGGCCTAGAATTTGTGGAAGTCTTCTTAATTCTCCCTCCCAAGTGTGGGAATTACGAACATGCACCCAACTCCATAGAAACCTTTTATTCTGTGTATGTGTGGTTGGTTTTGACACAGGGTCTTCCTGTGTAACCCAGGCTGTCCTAGAATTCAAACTCAAAATCTTCTTTCTTCAGCATACTGAGTATTGGAATTATAAGTGTGTACCTTTTTTTTTTTTTTTTTTTTTTTTTTTTTTGGTCTTTTTGAGACAGGGTTTCCCTATAGTCCCAGCTGGCCTCACTATGTAGACCACATTGGCCTCAAACTCACAGAGATCCGCCTGACTTCTCATTTGCTTTTGAAATTATGACCAATTGGAACATGTCAGCAATTATAATTAGGATAAATAACATCAATTTCTAGATGAAATTTTTTTTTCTTTTTTTTTTAGACAGGGTCTCCCTGTAGCCCCAGCTGGCCTAGAACTTACTATGTAGACCAGACCTGCTTGATCTGATATAGATCTGCCTGCCTCTGCCTCCTGAGTGCTGGGATTAAAGACATGCACCACCACTCCCAGCATCACCACTCCTAATTTTTGCAGCGTTGGGGATTGAACCCCACAGAGTTTTGTACATGCTAGGCAAGCTCTCTACTCACTGAGCTGTACCCACTCTCTAACCTATACTCTAGGTTATAGAACCTTAAGCAGTTTTTGAAGCTATTCAGCTATCATACTGGAATAATTTTGAATAGATGTTGAGAGGTCATATAGCTGGAGAACAGCTTTGGTTTGGGAGTTGTTTTGTTGTTTTTTGAGACAGGACATCACTATGCAGCCCAGGTTGGCCTTAAACTCATGGTATTCCTGCCTTAGCCTTCCTGAGATTCCATGGGTGCATCACCACAGCTGGCTGCAGTTGTGATCTAGCATCAGTGCTGGAGTCATCACATCTCTCTGATGGGCTGATGGGGGATTTTTTTTTTTCTCAGTTGACAGAACTCCTTTGGGCTTATCTCAAGTTCTGAGTAATAATTATAGAAAGATCTAATACTTATAAAATGCTATACACCAGGTACTAAGGCCTTTAAAAAAAAGCCATGGACTATTTAATCAAACCCCCATTTTGCATTTGACAAAATACAGCAAAAAGAGCTTTACAGGCTGGCAAGATGGCTCAGTGGGGAGAGGTACTTGCATACATGCCTGACAGCCTGAGTCTGATTTCTAGATACCACAAGGTGGCCAGAGAGAACTGACTCCAGAGTGTTGTCCTCTGACCTCCACTCTCACATGCGCATAATATTTAAAAAATAAAAGCTTTACTTGATCACACAGCTGTACTGTTTTAATACCTCAACTGTGCAAATGTTTTACTGCCTACTGATCCAGGGTCCAGGCTCTCAGTCATCTAATTATGCTGCCATCCAGTGATCAGTACAGTCATTGGTACTCAGTAATACTCAGTTCTGGTATTACTCTGTGATAATCAGAATTATCCTGGGTTTTACAAAATAAAAACTGGATATACAAACAAATAATTATTGATTTACCTCCCACTCTCTTTTTCAGGGAAATTTAGGAACTTTTTTTATTACCAATGTGAGAATTGTTTGGCATGCAAACATGAATGACAGCTTTAATGTCAGTATTCCATATCTGCAAATTGTAAGTATGTGCATTTTAGTTACCCTGTTTAAATGTAGAATAAATAATACAGTTAGTAAATAATAGTTAATAGGATGTTTGATGTTAGATGAGTTTTGACTGTTTTAAAATTTTTTCTGTTTTTTTTTGTGTATTTTATACAAAATATCTCAAAGAATCTTAATCTTATCTTTATGCCCCCATACTCATGGGGACACTCCCACAGCCCCCCCCCAACTGGAACCCATATACTCTGTCATCTGTATTAAGGCCCAGTGTGTCAAGTCAGTGTCCCCAGACATCCTTTTTAAATTATATATTTTTTATGTGTATGAGTGTTTTGCCTACATGCATGTAAAGGCACCTATGCATGCAATGCCTACAGAGACCAGAAGAGGGGGCATCAGATCCCCTAGAACTGGAGTTACTGCTGGTTGTTAGCCACCACGTGGGTGCTTGGAACTGAACCTAGTTCCCCTGGAAGAGAAGATGGTATTCTTAACCACTAAGCCATTTCTCTAGCCCCAAGATCACATTTTTTTTTTTTAAGAAAGAATTCTTGGTCTATTTGGATAATTTACAAAAAAATTCCCAAGCCTATCTTCTGCTAAACTTTTTGATTTGTGAGTTACTTAAAAATACCTCGCCAGGTCTGGGGTTGTACATGCCTTTAATTCCAGGACTCAGGAGGCTGAGGCAGGAGGATCACCATGAGTTCAAACCCACCTTGGGCTACCTAGCCAGACCTTGTATCAAAAACACCCAAAAAATTAAAATTAATAAAAGAAATTAAATATCTTAAAAAAATGTTTTAATGCACTTAGTACACCTTTAATCCTAGCAGTCAGGAGGCAGAGGTGGGCAGATCTCTGTGAGTTCCAGGCCAGTCTGATCTATATAGTGAGTTCTAGGCCAGCCAGGACTACAAAAGGGAGACCCTATCTCAAAATTAAAAATAAAGAAAATACCTGAAGGACTGGGGGTGTAGCTTACTTGCAGAGTGCCTCTCTAACATGTACAAAGCCTTGGGTTCAATCTTCACTGAAAGGAAAAACATACAAGAGCAACTCCCCAAGGGACTGGAGAAATGGCTCAGCGATTAAGAGTGTTTGCTGCTCTTCCAGAGGTCCTGAGTTTGGTTCCCAGCACCCCACTTAAGGGGATTCACAGTCTCCTGTAACTCGAGCTCCAGGGGCTCTAACACCCTCTTCCGGCCTCCATGGGCACTTGCATGCACACAGTATACTCACAGATGCACACTCATACTCGGGTAAAAAATTTTAAAAATATATTTTTTTTAAATTACCCCAAAGCTGAGAATATTTGGTCATTTACCGATGTGCCCAGTACGGAGACCTCCTCTGCTCCGTGCTAGACATGACTTAGAAGTCACGAAGCAGCACACAGCTCCTGCCATTGAGGAGCTTTCAGTCTGGTGGAAGAAAGCAGTACATTAAACACATAACCATCGAGTTTGATAAGAAGAAAATGGTTTCTTGCCATCTAAAGAAATATGATAATTTGTTTCATTTTGTCTGTGGTGCAGGGGCTCAAACCCAGGGTCCTGCACAAGCTCTGCCACTAACCTCTGCCCAGGGCCTTGCACAGCTCTGCATCTCTGGGTAGAAATAATTTGTTAGCAAGGCTGGGAAAATGTGACAGAGTCTACATGGTATTTGATAAATTGGGGTGTTTATATTAGTCATTGCTGGATTTTGTTTAGTTTCATTTTGTTGGGTTGGGTTAGGGATCTCTCTTTGAGGTTCGGTCTCATTCTAGCCCAGGCTAATGTAGAACTGTGTAGCTTAGGCTAGCCTCAAACTCACAGCAGTCCTCCTGCCTCATAGTCTCAAGTACTGGGATTGCAGTCTTGTGCCACAGTGTCCAAATGTATTGCATTTTTATTATGATAGCTTATCTGTTATCCTGAAAATTACTCAGTAGTAAACAACCTTGTGGTTTCTGCTCTTCAAATAGAACATTTTTGTTATTTAAGAATAGAATTGTCAGATACAACTTCTGGAGTGAATTCAGCCTGACCCAAACAGCTTGCAACGTGATCCCATCACAGCTTGTCACTGTAGTAGTCATGCTCTAACTTGAGCTCTGTGCCTCAGTCACTGCCCTGACTACTCCATGTGTGTGGTGTGTATGTGTGTGTGTGTGTGTCCTTCATGCCACTTCTGTTTTACCAACTTGAGTCACCTAGTTTAGAGTTCCTATTGATGAAACCATGATTCCAGTGTTCTGTGATTCTGGTAATTCCTGGTGGGTCATAAAGTTGTTAGATGAAAGTCCAGATTTTCATAAAAAGTGGCACTAAAATGCTGGGCGTGGTAGTGCACACCTTTAGTCCCAGCATTTGGGAGGCAGAGGCAGGCGGACCTCTGTGAGTTTGAGGCCAACCTGGTCTACATAGTGAGTTCCAGGCCAGCTGGGGCTACAGGGAGACCCCCCTCTCTAAAAAGGACCCCCCCAATAAATTGTCACTAAAGCCATTCTCTTTTTCTCAATCTGTCTCTCAACTTCCAGTGCCCATGAGATATAACATTAGGTCCTCCATGGTTCTCGCCTTCCTCACTAGTACATGTTCTGTGTTCCTTTACTGGCCCAATCTGCTATTGTGCTCTGTCCCTTCTTCCTCTTCAGAGGCTGCTGGAACTATTGCCACTCTCCTGCTGATAAGTCTTAATCCCCCAGAGTACGTTTAGCAGCAAGTGTTAATTACATTTGATTGGCCCAGCCTTCTTTGATGCCCAGTGATTATTGCTCATTAACTTTTTGTTTTAAATAAAGTCTGGTATAACTTAATGGTAAAGCACATACCAGCATATACCGCACTCTAGGTTTGTTCCCCTAGCACAATGAATGAATGAATGAATGAATGAATGAATGAATGAATGAATGAATGAATGAATGAAAATTGGGGTTCTTTTAGAACTTGGTCACCTATGATGTGAAAAACAAAAGGGTACTATGACTGTAAACTAAAGCCACAAAAGATATTGGCTCCCCATAACTGTAAGATTTTTGAACTTTTGTATAAAATATTCAGAACTGTCAACTCCTGGAAAGTTGGGAATATTTGAATCAGATGAGTTTTTGCATATTTCAAAAATATCTTTTGTATCACCTTATCTGTTTACCACCTGTTTTCAGTATGAATCTATTCATTTACTTGGTCTCTGGGGGAAAGGGGGAGTAAAAGAGGGATTCTGATTTTTAGACTATGAAAAGTAGTTCTGTCTGTTTTATACATAAAAATGGGCCAGACATGATTTAATCCCAGCACTCCAGAGGGAGAGGCAGGTGGATCTCTGTGAGATAGAGGCTAGCCTTGTCTGTATAGCACGTTCCAGGCCTGCTAGGGCTACAGGGAACCCCTGTCTCAAAAAAACAAACAAAAAAGTTAAAAAACTTATTGCCAGGCATGGTGGCTCCCAGTGCTCAAGAGGCTGAAGCAGGAGGAAGGATTGCTGTGAGTTCAAGTCCAGCTTGGGCTACATGGTCAGTTCCAAGCTAGCCTGAGCTACAGTTTGTTTCAAAAACCAAAAATACAATTCAATAAAAATAATTAAAACTTTATTAAAAATTACTACTATCAGATAATAAAAATGTGCATCTTTTCTATTTTTTATAGCGTTCAATAAAGATTAGAGATTCCAAATTTGGTTTGGCTCTTGTCATAGAAAGCTCTCAACAGGTACGATAGTTTATGTTTTTATTAAAGTTTGATAAATTTTTTAAACTGTGACAAGGTTTTAGTTTTATTTATATAATAACTGCTTTACATACAAGAATATCAGCTAGAACATGAAGATATGTGAAGTGCTTGAAGTCTTACAGTTAGTTAGTGTGAGTATATCCAGAGGAAGAATCCTGCCTGTGTGTATTTGTTTTGAGACTGGGTTTCACTGTACAGTATAATCCAGGCTGGCCCCAAACTCAGCCTTTTCCTGCCTCAGTCTCACAAGTGCTTGGATTATAGGTGTGAGCCACCACATCCCACTCTGCCATTTGTTTGTTAGACACAGTCATTATTTTCATTACGATCACCACTTTGAGTGACAGAATCAATCACTGTGCTACATAAGCACATTTCATATATTATCTCAATCTGACAACTGTATGAAACTGTCACTATTTTTTCCTCATCTTACAGTACAGGAAACTGAGACCTGGAAAAGTTAGGACCCCTGCATGTGATCTCACAACTAGGAGGGGTGGGACTAGATTTTCATTCCAGGTTTGACTGACTGACAACACTTTCTTTAAGAAATACCAATATATAGAGAAAGACACACACACACACACACACAGATTTTATATTCTTAGACACAGATTATACAGTTTCTACATATAAACTGCTATATACCTGCACACCCATTGTGCTGTTGTGTTTTGCAGAAATACTATTGAAACATTTGAAATACTTTATTATTTTGGTTTTTGGAACAGGTGTCACTATATAGTTCTGACTGACTGACCTTGAACTTGCTGTATAGATTCTTCTGCCTCTACCTCCTGAGTGCTAGGATAGCAGGCATATGCCACTACGCCCAGCTAAAATAAATTTTAAAATGAGTAATGCCAGGTGTGGTGGTTCACGCCTGTAGTCCCAGCACGTGGGAGGCAGAGGCAGGCGGATCTCTGTGAGTTCAAGGCCTACCTGGTCTACATAGTGAGTTCCAGGACAGCTGGGGCTACAGGGAGACCCTGTCTCAAAAAGACCAAAAAATAAAAATAAAGTTTGTTATAACAGGCAGTATTCCAGTTACTTCCTAGTACCCTGTTCCTTTACAGGGTAATCCATAAACTGTTCTTACTTAGACATAGGAAAAAATTAGTTATAAAGTCACCTCTCAATTTTTTTAAAGATTTATTTTTATTATTTTTAATCATGGGTACATGTATATGTGCATGTATGGATATGTACATGTGAGTATAGAGTCCTCAGAGGCCAGAAGAGAATATTATTTCTCCTGGAGCTGGAGTTATAGGCATTTGTGGGTCACCCAACATGGGTGTTGGGAACTGGACTCCAATTCTCTAGAAGAGCAGGAAGATCTCTTAACTGCTGAGCATCTCTCCTGGACTTACAAATTTAAAAATGAATGCCTGCCTAACTCTTTCCCATGGCCTATTTACTAAGTACCCACTACGTCCCAGGAATTGTACCAAGTGTCATATATACCTTATCCTGCTTAATACAACCACATGATACTCGTGCTTAAAAAAATGATACTTAGGTGCTTTTAGCAAAACCATAGAAATTAGCTGAAGAACCAGAATTGAGCTCAAAAGTATGTACTCAACATAAAACATGCTCTTAGAGCTACAGTTCATCATATCCTATAAATACATTTCTTGGGCTCATTTTTGTTTTTTGGGTTTTTTTCCCCTGTAGAGTGGAGGATACGTTCTTGGCTTTAAAATAGATCCTGTGGAAAAACTACAAGAATCAGTTAAGGAGATAAATTCACTTCACAAAGTCTATTCTGCCAGTCCTATATTTGGAGTGAATTATGAAATGGAAGAAAAGGTAATTTGTTCAATATATGAAATATAGTTTGCTGAATTACTTTTATGCTACCAATGAAATTCAGATATAAACTCAGTGTATATAAACTTTATATGTATATACACACTTTGTTCAAGTAAGCATGGCCTCAGACTGTACCATCTCTAATTGGTGACTATTACCTGTCTTCTGATTGGTTGCTTCATTCCTGATCTTCTAGATGAAGCAGCCTATTCAGTTAAGTCTCCGTGTGAAAGGCTCCTCTGATGCACAAAACTTGGGTCTGTCACTCTATCAGCTTTAGTTTTAGTCTGCAACAGCCCCTGTTAACTTTGGCAAACTTACAGCCTCATGGATATCATTCTATTCCCCACTGCTCACAATAGAGAAACCCTAGAATCTGCTCCATTGATGCTCTATGTTTGTTGATCAGTGCCGCTGACATACTGTACACGTTTTGAAATATTTTAAGGATTTCTGTTTATTTGGTTGTTTGACTGTGTACTTGGTTTTGATGTGGTCTTGTATTGCCCAGACAGATCCTCAAGCTCCTGCCTGCCTTTGCTTCAGCATCTATAATGCTGAAACCTCAGACACATACCCTATGCCCAGCTAGTTTTGAAATATTTTGAGTGTCAGGCCCACTGGTCTTTGCCTTCCTCATCTGTTTTGATTGTGCACCAGCCCCTTCATGCAACTCTGCTTCCTTTTGGAAGCTGAAGCTCTCATCATGTGATCTGTTACTGGTATCCTCCTTGTCTACCTTTGCCCCAGGCACTCCCTGTGGTGCCCCCAATGGCTGCTCTATCACTACCCATGCTATTAGAAGTTCCCTTCACCATCTGTTCTATTGCCCTTGCTGTCCTCCCTGTTTCTGTCCCATTGGTGATTACTCTGTCACATGTTCCCTTGCTCTCTGCTCCTTTGCTGGGGCCCACTGTACACTCTCTTACCAGTATCCTAGCCATCCACTCCTGTCAGTATTCTTGCTGGTACTCAGTTAATGAACCATATCACAACTACTATCTTTTCTGTCTGTCTTCTTGTGCTCTTAGAGTTCTGCATGTGACCAAAGAGGACCAGGAAGCAGGCTGAGCAGTGGGGTACAAATTCATGTCCTCTGACTTCAGTGAGGCATTCTTGCTTTTACTTTTCCTTCTCTGGATATTCCTTATAATATCATCTGGTCCTCTGGCTTCTTTAACTTTTGTAGATACCTTGCATGTCTGTCCTTCTGATCTTGACATACTCTTTCAGCTTATTTTAGTTACAAATACTCTTGAATATTGTCACATAGATGAGCATCTTAAATAATAGAAATTCAATTTTTTTAATTTTTAATTTTTTTTAACATTATTGGGGAGTCGTGTGGAAATCAAAGGACAACTTGTGGCAGCTGGTTCTCCCACAGAGATCAGAGGATCTGGGGATCAAACTCAACTTCAGGTTTGGCAGCAAGCACTTTTACCCACTGAGCCTCTCATTGGCCCAAAATTGAATTTATGTTTTAAAAGTTATGATTTCATTATTTATTATTTCTGTTCATGTGTGCAAGTATGTGCATGTGCTTTCTGGTGCCCATGGAGGCCAGAAGAGGGCATCAGATGGAATTAGAGGTTGTGAGCCACCTGATGTGGGTTCTAGGAACCAAAGTCTGATCCGCTCAAAGAGCACAAGTATTTTTAATCACGGAGCCATCTCTCTAACCGACGCCCCCCCCCCCAACTTTTTTTTTAATTTCTTATTTCAGAATTTATCCTAATTCAGTTATCTAAATAGGTAAGATATATTAGGCCTCAAACATGGCATACCCAAAAGTACCTTCATCATTTCTTTCTCAACTGTAACATCCTAATGACTTACCTATTTTTTTTTAGTTTTATAACCACATGATTAGACTTACCTATTTATTACCTATTTCTAGCATTTTCAAAGTTACTGTGCTCAAGTCTTGGAGTTTCTTTCATTTTCTCCATTATCTTATTTTGCAGGCTATTTTAATTATACCCATCTTTTCCCTGTGCCTATCCTCTTTCCACTCAGGCTGCAATTTTTTCTGCTGCTTGAAGAATGTTGAACAACAAGCATGGTCTTGGGAGAACCTGACTTTTATTCCCAGATTCCCTGTTTGTGATCCTGTGTACTTTAAGCTTCAGTTTTCTCATTATAAATGGAGATAAGCTCTCTCACATTTATGTGTACATAAAACGGGAGACAGTTGGAGACACCTGATAGTGTCTGTTCCACTACCTATTCTCTCTGGCTTTCATTTCTCCTCTCCCCTCCTTTGACCCCAGTTCATACCAGTGGCTAGCCACAATCACTCACTCTCTCTCTTCTCAAATGCCATATAAAGTCTCCAGGCTGACCTTCTCTGACTGTCCATTTTCAGAAAGGAAAGTAATTGAGGTGAGAGTTTTTCTTTTAAGACTATCTCTAAGTGGTTATTTATAAATATTTTTTAAAAGTATATATATAAAGA